ATTGAGAAACATGTTCTACAGAGTGTAAAATGGTGCACTTTTTCAGCATTTAATGGGTGGCCATTTTTCAATAATTTCATGGTCTGACTTGATTTCCACCTTACTTTTCAATCAGATAAATTCAGATGAATAGGGTGGAATGGAATTCTTTTTTTGTCTTTCTGCATTATTCCTAAGGAAATTGAGTGTTTGCGGATATGACATACATTAAATATAAAATTGATTTCTGTACAGTGTCCATTGTATTAATTGGGTGCCATTTTTGTGACTTTCTGTTCTTTTTCTGTCTTCTCAAATGTTCAGATTATCCCTATTTCCCCTGTGCAGAAGATAGATTGTGGAGAAAACATGCAGCTCTGAAGCTACTGGTCGCTTTTTGAAAAAATTGAATAATATTCATAGCAGCAGAATAATATTGTTCTACACACACTGCTCACCCAGAAGCTCTTCAAATCTCCTGGTCTCCCCACGAGTCCTTTACGCATAATCCCCCCCCCCCCAAATAAAGTCATCAGAAATGAACCAAAGTATCACTTTGATTTCTCTACAGTCCTAAAAAGACTAAATATAATTTGAAAAGAGATGAGTATTGTCCAGCTGTGGAAAAAAATCTATAGATTCCAGCATACTTAATATGGAGCTAGTATCCCATCTCAAGAAAATAATAAATGCATTTAGACTGCAGGGTTATTCTGAATGCCAAATTACTAAACAGAAATCCATACTCCTTGCCTTTCTACATCTCAGATGAAGGAACTATAGGATATTATATTACATTTCATGTAAATGGCTAGGATGGCATTTATTCTATAGAATGTGGTGTGAAAGTTCCAATTTCACTGACTGGGCCTTCAGCATCCTTTTCTTTGAAAATAAACACCAGACACAGATTTTTTCCTCTGCATAGACCTGTTCATTGGACTGGAGATTTCCATGCTCAAACATGCAGCTTACTGATTGACTTTGGAGCAGGCTCTCTGTTTCATCCCAAAGCACCTCATGGTGCTATTTATTGCAAATATAAAATTAAGACAATCTTCTATGTTTCCCATTTGAGGAAAGGTAGAACATAAATACAAAGAATGAGAAAGAGGATCATATGACCTTGAATAGGTAGAGGCCAATATTTGCTCCTACTTGCACAGGGGGGTTGGACTAGATGACCTCCAAGGTCCCTTCCAACTCTGTTATTCTATGTTCTATGTTCTGAAACATTATTACCTACGGTATAAAATAATTCATTTTTCCATTTCTTCAGCATAAACCAGTGGGATTTTAAATAACCAACTTTTACTGACTCATGTCTAGAATTTTTCCAGAAACAATCAGAAAACCCTAAAGTATTCAAACCACTTGAAAAATATATGCAAGATATGCTGCTACAACATGTCTATGCATTTTATTTAAATTGTGCGCCTTAAGGCATCATGTGAAGATGCAACCTAGGTACATTCTCTCAAAAATAACTTTGGCAATGAAATCCTCATCAGAAAGGTGAGTTATGACGGGGCTATGTTATTTCAGATTGCAGATAAAATGGTAAAGTGTGTGCTGACACACTGTCCTGCAGATAAATGAAGTCCTATTTCCCAGAAATTAAAAACGTCACAGAGAAAGCTAGGGCAGAGATTCTAGTTTTTTCCCTAAAGAATTACTTGTTTACATGGAGGAGTATTTAATCATGTCAGCTGCCAGGAATTAAATTACATTTCTTATGATTTTTTTTATGCTGCAAGGGAAAAGCATGACAGTCATCCAATCTATTAAAGAGCTAACACATACAAACAATATATGCAGAAATCAAGAAGGATGTGGGCAACATATGTTTGTTACATAATGCAATACTTAAATTTTTATCATATGTTCAATTCTATCGGATGAATTGGAATAACATAGGTGGAAATGTAACTTGTTCCACAAAGATGAGATCAGTTGATTCTAGGCATCTGAACTATTAATTAAACCAACTATGAGCTAATCATCTAGAACAGGAGTCTTCAAATTTGACAGCATTAAGACTTGTGGACTTCAATTCCCAGAATTCCTCCTCCAGTCATGTTAGTTCAGGAATTCTGGGAGTTGAAGTCCATAAGTCTTAAACTTGCCAAGTCTGAAGACCCTTGATCTAGAATCAGAGCTTCTCTGAAGAAAATTACTCTGATTGCCTGTTAACTAGGACAGTATTCCTTAAAACAGGGTACCTCATCCCTCTTACCTGCAACTCCTGACATTCGTGAAGTATTTTGTGAGCTGCTGGACTTGCTGCGATTCTGATTTTTTTTCTTAGGGTTGGCAGCTCGGACAGATCGAAAAAGGACTTCGCTTGCTTTAAAGAAGGCAACCATGAATGGTTGCTTTGACTGCGGACCATGCCTGCCTATAAGACCAGCTGCTTTCACACTGATACTACGACCTGCAAAATAAAGAGAAATAAAATCAGCTACCATTAAACGAAATCCATTTAGCGGATGGATAACATTCTAGATAAGGTGTGTGTGTATAGAATGTTTTCTGGATATTACAGTACCAGAAGTATGTAATGTCTCTGCTATAGTTCCACTTTCCACATTATGGTGACAAAGATGTTAGCTAAGCAAAAAGCTCAGGTGATCCTGTTTTTAGAAATTGGGAAAAATAAATTGAGAATCCTGTATGTCCAAAACGCCCCAAAGAGAAATAAGAAATGGAGGTAGTGTATACATTTACATTTCAAGGCATAAATAATTCCCAGCCATTACTCATTTCTTGTCAGGACTCTGAAGTTCAGGCACAGCCGAGGCTTCAGTCTTTCAAGGAATAATATATAATCGAGGGTAAAATATGACATGATTGACTCTGATTTTAATCCCGAGGGATCTGCGTATTTCTTTATTATATTTGTTTAGCTGAGACTGAATAGTCACTTTGTCGGATTAGAGACTCCCCTCCCGGGCATGTGTATGGGGCAGAGGGGGAAGGGTGGAAGTGTGGCGTATCAGAAGAAAAACTTGAAAAGGGAAAGTCCAAGCATAGATGTAGAAGTTGTATCCATCTGAAGTTGTATCCATCTGAACAACCCCCAGGCTCTTAACAAAATTTATTTTGGCATCTTGAAGAATTGTGTGTCTCCCCATATTATGCAGAACCTTCAGAAAGTGAGACGGTGCCATATGAAGCTAGGCAGCTGTACAGGGAGAAGAATTATCATGGGCCAGCCTTTAAATAGTAGTGTGTTAATAAAGAAATGCTGAACTGAGTTCTTATAGGAGCAGCAACTCACAATAGAATTATTCTGAACTATTGCTGGATCAACGAAAAAAAAACTTTGGATGAAACAGCCTATATCTTTTCAACTATGACATGGTCTCAAGCTTGGTCTTAATTGGATATGTCTAGTTTAACCAAAAGAAGAACTAGGGGTGTCATGATAGCAGTGTTCCAATATCCAAGGAACTGCCACAAAGAAGAGGGGTTCAACCTACTTTCCAAAGCACCGGAAGGCAGGATAAGAAGCAATGGATGGAAAGTAATCAAGGAGAGAAGCAATTTAGAACTAAGGAGAAATTTCCAGACAGTGAGAACAATTAATCAGTGGAACAACGTGCCTCCAGAAATTGTGGTTGCTCCAACACTGGAGGGTTTTAAGAAGAGATTAGACAACCACTTGTTTGAAATGGTATAGGGTTTCCTGCTTGGGCAGGATGGACTAGAAGACCTCCAAGGTCCCTTCCAACTCTATTATTCTGTTGTTTTGTCCTGTTATTCTGTTGTTTTGTTATTCTGTTCTCACCACAGAAAGAACTTACTAATAATCCTAGGAGCAAGCCTTACTCAACTTAGCCCTACGCTTCCCTTTTTAAAGGCAGACTTACGATGGCTCTTTGCCAGGGCTTTTTTTTTTTAAAGAGAAACATTTATCATGGGCATCAATGAAAGAGGCAGTTTGATTTGCGGTTAAAGCAGTTTCCATTCTACTTCCACTATAACAAATGCATTAATTCAGCTCTTTCCTGGCAGTCTTTTCGTAGGGAGACAGGGAAAGATTAGAAGTCTCAGCCAAATACCATACCTTGAATTGACCCACTTCAGTATATAAACACTTTTACAGTGTGTTTATTCAGATGTAGCACTTTAAATTGGGTTAAGATGTATCTAATGACAGATAACTGGAAAAGGATTTTTTTTTAATGAAAATTAAACTTGGGAGCAGAGTAACTGAGCAAATGTTCAGACAATTGTTAATTTGAGGGAACAAGGGAAATTCTGCAAAGGATGGAAGATAAAGGTTGGTGCATGGGACTGCGTGCTGGATCCTGAGACACTAAATAATCACATTCATTTTTGGCTACTTCCCTCCATTTTTGTTTTCTTTTGATGCAGGTTCAGTTTTAAAAAGTCATAATAGACTTTTCCATACAGAAAACCAGTAGAAAACTACACTGTGATTACTCAGTGGCATTCTTATTAGTAAAATGATTTTGAGTTCTAGGAATCCACAACATTTTCCTGGAAGAGTTCTTAGTAAATAGAGTAAATATATGAGCAATGTTAAGTACTCTAAATTAATAAATTAATCATATATTTACTCTATTTTAAAGTATATATTGTGTGATAAGCAAAAACAAGGAATAAAAAGCTTTTAATGTAACACAAACTCTCTTTAAAATAATACTGGGTTAGCAATAAGATAACAAGGAAGATCCTACAAATAATAGTTTATATAAATCCTTGAGATATGTAGAGGTACTCTTAAACAGACATTAAACATAAAGCAATTTATATGGCTCCCTATCATGTGTTTACCTGGTCTTTTGAAAAGCCAAGGTAGACAGATATAATTATCTCCAAGGTTTTTATTTTAATTTCCAGTGTGTGTTTCTATGAATGTGAGAATAAATCCCAACAACTGTAGATACAATCTGAAGTTGAAAGATTTATGCAATCTAAAGAGAAACCAGAGTATAACTATAGATTGGGATGAGGGAGCAACTATGGCTCCTTTAGGACCTGTGGGCTTCAACTGAGCCTGGCTGGCTTGGGAATTCTGGGAGTTGAAGTCCACAGGTCATAAAAGGACCCACCCCTGCTGTAGATGAGAGGACATTCAGAATTACACAATTTAGAATTATAAATCTTACAGCAGAACTATTGAAGAATTTAATCCAGAATTATTCCAAAGATCTCAAAACTCCAAAGTTAGGTGTTCCATAATTGAAGCCTTTGCTTATTGATTAAGGGCAGTTTCCAAAGAGCTGGGCAACTAGTATCATGTGCCCAAGGGAGAGCTCTTCTTGTGTTCCAAAGGATAGATTCTTGCATAGCAAATATCTTTGAACCTAAGGTTTCTTTCAGAAGCACTTGTGATTAGGAGACTGCTATTCTGAAAGTTCAATTTCCTTCTAACCAAGAGCAAGCTCTTGGGCATAACTATTGTAGGGATTCCAGTCTCACTTTGCATAGTCTAGTCAATATGCATTTTATTGTGATTTATTAGCCCACCTTTTTAAATGTATTCCTCATGTGGAAGAGACTACTTATGGCTGAAAATCCAAGCTCCTGTTTAGTACAAGAACCCAAATTAAAGCACTCTTCACCAATAAGTCCCTGGTTTAAGACAAGAACACTGCAACCACCTGTATATATGATTGGGATTCTCCATTACAATGAATTAGAACAACAAAAATGGTTATGTCTTGCACATTTGAGATGGAATTCAGAAGAACAGGAGCTACTGATACAGTCTATGGTTTCCCATGACTGAAACGTTCTCCAGATATTAAAATCCAGAAACATGTAGATGAGTTGGAAGGAGGAGTGGGAAGATTTTGGAGGACTTTGAGATCAATGGAATAACTCTGGATTAAATATTTTAGTAGTTTTGCTGTAAAGGGTTATCACTCCAAGTTATATAATTCTGAATTTACATTCGTCTACAGTTGTCGGATTTATTTCCACACATACAGACATGCACGTGCCTAAGTGAATAGAGTAAAATATAAAAAGCAATTTGTCCACCTAAAGTGGGTTGAGGGACAGATTGTATGGATTGGACATTGCACCTTTATACCTTCTCATATTCCAAATTTCCATATGAAATGAGGACTGAGTGAAACCATACCTCATTTCTATGCCTGCCTCAAAGTCTCACATATGAAGCCATACTGAGAATTAATTCACTTTGGATTTAAAAAAGAAAAGAAAAAGTAATCATAGCTATTGCCAAAACTGGGTTTTGTTAAAAAATGGGGCATTTTTTCCTCTTTGAAGACAGAATTACATTGCATTAATCTGACAAAGTTGTTTTGTGGTTTTAGCCATACATGTTGACAATGATATTTCAAAAGCCATGTAATGTAATCCTTTGGAAAGATTTATGAACATTTCAGAATGTTTTACTGTACACATTTCTTCAGTACAGCAAGATATAGTGTTCAAAACAAAAAAAATGTTGCAATCATTTCACAAAATGTATTCTTGAAATACTAGAACCAACTTTTCAATATAATATATTTCCACCGTGAATGAAGTGTTATAAGGTTTCTTTTTATTCCAATTGAACTTCATTGTAATAATCGTAAAGATATGATGGCACAGGGAATAAATATGATCCCTTCATAATTATTTTATTACAGAAACAAAAAGAGGTACAATTCTTTGAAACAGATATACTTCTTTTCAAAGTTGAATTGTGAAGTATTCTATCTCAATGTGGTCTTTTATCAAACACACTATCAAATTATCATATCCCCATAATTATTTCTTATATGGACTACTGTACAGCATTTGCATTCTGTCCTCTGTCAGAATGTCTTGGGCTATGTCTTTGAATGTTTGAACTTGATTTCATATATAGGTAGTCCTTGCATTAAAAAAAGGACTTAGGACCGGAATTTCCATTGGTAAGCAATGACGTTGTGAAGTAGATGCTATGCTGCTTAACAATGGTAATTCCAGCGGTCCCCAGTTATTGTTGTTAAGTGAATCACCATAGTTTGCTAAGGAAGTACCTCACATAATTACAATTCCCAACTACCTGCTGACTTCCCTACTGACTTTGCTGGTGGGAAGCTGGCAGAGAAGGTTGCAAATTGAAATCTCATGACCATGGGACACTATGACAACTGAAAACCTGGGCTAGTCATGTGATTGTGGTGGTGTTGTGATGGCCGGAATTTAGAGGATTGGTCGTAAGTACCACTCTTTCAACGTGGTTGCAAGTTCAAACTGAGTGAGTGGTTGCTAAATGAGGACCACCTATAGAGAGTCAGAAATACATTTAACAGGGCTGGAAAATAATTTGCTATGTATAATAAATGAGAAAGGTCAGATATGGTGAATAGACTCAAAATGGAAGAACACACACACACACACACACACACACACACTGGTAGTTTTTTTTAAACAACAACAACAACCCATAAGATTAATTATTAGTAGGGACAATAGAGTAAGCAGAAATAGAAAGCTATAAGCCAAATAAAAGAAACAAGAAGACACAACTGTCAGACTTAACAATCCGCAAATGTCTTAAGGTGGTGCCTTGAACGTAAATCACTACTAAGGAGGCCAGGGGGAAACTAAAAACTCATAGTAAAAGCATTCCTCAGGAAAATTGATACAATTTTAGCTATTTTCCTCCTATTTTCATCACTTATCCATCAATTGAAGTGATATAAAGCCTGCCCTCATGAATGTTACTTTGACAGATAGAAATTAGAAGAATGTAGATGATGATATCATAAGTCGCTTGTGAGAAATGACCATCCAGAGAATCTTAAATGCTCATGCCATTGATACAGTTCACGTACTTTGAAACTCAGAGCCAAATCTGATCCAACAAGCTAATATCTATAATTAGATGCAGTTTTTGTTTTTTGTTGTTTGTTTTAAGGTGAAGGATTAATAGGGGGTTGGGCCAAGAGAAAGAGAATTCAGACTGGATCTCTAGGAAGAATTACTCCTTCTTCCAAACTTCATTTTCCCAATAAATGCCCTGCCTTTCTGAGAGGGAAGGAGAGGGAGAGAGAAAGAGAGAGAGAGAAGCGATTTTTACAAGAAAATAATGACAGTCTACCTCCTCAACCACCATCAAGCTCATAATCAGATTATAGTCTTTCCCTTGCATCCTTTTAGAAAAATGTATACATTTCTCACTGCCTAATTCCCTTTGGGCCCTGGATATACAAATTAAATCTGCTGCCTACAGCTATTAGAAGAAACAAATCCATTATTAATTATTAGAAATTAATCTAACATTTGGATGTGTTTAACCTAGAATCCAGGAGGAAATGGAAACATAGAAAATGTAGCATAAACATCAGATTTCTTTTTCTTTTTTAAAAAAAGAAATCATACATTACAGCATGGGTGCTAAAACAATGGGACTATATCAAAAGCTGCACATGGAAAAAATAATACAAGAGGCTTTTTCAGACGGTTTCTACATCTGGATATATTTTAACACTTCCATTCATCAGCTGACCTCTCACCTTCTGTATCAGTTGGAAGTGATAGTTTCTCCTGTAAAATCACAATTACCTTCAGCCTAAAATGTAAACTATAATAGAACCCAGTGGACCACTACAAAGATATATGCGGACATTTAGAAAAGAGAATTAGACAAAGCATGATCCTTTCTTACTTTAGCACAGCCCTAGGGAAACAGTAAGTTATATGTTGACAGACTCCATATGTGTTATGTTGCTCTTTAGACCTACAATTCAATATAAAATGTGTTTTTAGCAGAAAAGCGGCCATATTTCATGCAGAAATGATGCCTATGATACCAAATTCCATTTTCAAAGGAAAAAATGGATTTCAACCAGTGGTGGGATTCAATTTTTTTTACTACCGGTTCTGTGGACCTGGCTTGGTGGGCATGGCAGGGGAAGGATACTGTAAAATCTCCAGTTGGAGGTGGTATTTGCCAGTACTCCAAACTATTCAAAATTTCCGCTACCAGTTCTCCAGAACTGGTCAGAACCTGCTGAATACCACCTCTGATTTCAATATCATGTTGCCTCGTTTTTTATTTTTATCAAGAAGGAAATGCAAAACTATGATGAACAGGCATGTTTTTCATATTCTAGTTTTATTTTCTACAACTTTTCCAGCATACTGAAATTTTAAACAATCTTTTTATCCCTTTTATCTCTTTTAAAATTAAAATTCACAGACCCAATAAAAATCCAAAAGGAACATATTTTAATTCAACAAGAGGATTCAACCCAGCCTCATAATCAACTAAGTAAAACAAGGTCTAGGGTGTTGGAAGCACTAAAGCTAGGAGAAACAGTTCCTGAGTTTTGTTGCTGGCACATTGCAAGTTAATCAGAATTATACTAGTATGACAAACGAAGGTGCAGATTACATTGTATGGAGCCTGAGCACATGCTTATGAAAATCAGCATTACTTACTTCTGCATACATTAGATACATCTCAGTAGAATCTGGTTCTGTGTATCTTATGTAGCGTTAGTTTAGTCACTATAGAAAATGTGTTCAAAGGTTAACTATTATCTATTCATTTTTCTTAAACATTTACACCTACGTATCCTACAGATCTCAGGATCTGCTTTAATCCATAAATCACAGAAGATAAAACACTCATATAAAATAAAAATAAATGATCGCTAAAAAGTTTAAGGAGCAATAACTGTATTACAATAATAGATAATTTTGGGAGGACCAATGGCCAGACTATTCTGAACCCTTGAGTAAAACCAAGTATTTCCATGGTGCTAAAAACCAAGCAAATTTAACAAATTCTTTCCATCAAGCAACACAACACAAATGGTCTGCCCAGGACAATGAAATAAATGACTCTCCCCATGACTAGATTTTCTTCCTTCTACCCATAGCACTATCTAAGCCAGGGGTGTCCATCTTTGGCAACTTTAAAACTTGTGGACTTCAACACTCAGAATTCCCAAGAATGGCTGGCTGAGGAATTGTGGGAGTTGAAGTCCACTGGTCCTAACATTGTGAAGTTAGACATTGCCAATCTAAGCCCACATGCATCAAGTCAATGATGAAATGAGGCAGCATCTTGGCAATCATGGAGGCTGGAAACTCCTAAACCTAGCACAGGAAAGGGTCCCATATGCATTGTAAATTCTCCAAAAGGATCATTCTGGAATTTTCTACATCTGACCACTTCAGCTAACCTGACTACAGAGACCAGCACTAAATATGACAGTTGCTATACCATCAGCCTCTTTTTCTAAGTCTTGGTATATCAGGTATGTACCTACCTATGTGTAAAAGTATTTTCATAACACCCACAGATTCTATTTAATGTTGTCACTGATCAAAATGTTCCCACAGAGGATCCAAAATATTTATGAGTTCTGTGCAATTTGTGTGCATATAAACAGCACAATAATTTCAAACAGATTCATGTGAAATGTTAGACATACATAAAACTTACCATCTGCCATCTCTGCACAGAGCTGCAACCCTAAATTATTCTGTGGGTCAATCACCCAGTGGTTGCTGGTTACAGTGATATCAAACACAAGCCAGCCAATATGAGGAGCTTGAGCTCGTTTTGTATCTAATAGGAACAGGTCCGCATCCCTAGTATAGAAAGAAAGAGTAAATAAAAATGCATGATAATTTAGGTTATTGGGATTAATTTTGCCAGAAAAACATTGATTCTGACTGTGGCACAGCAAGGCAGACAACCTACATACACATGACATCACATGTTGGAAATGAAAGGCAGTGATCCATAAACTAATTAAATTTCAGCACTTCATATTAATTTCTCCAAGATAATTTTGTGTTGGCATTATAATCCAGGACATTTATATATATTTTTTTATTTCTATAGACTTGATATACTAAGTGATTTCATCTCCCATAGTTCAATTCTATGAACATGTAAGTGTTGCAGATGTAACAGAAATTCTAATAGTTGCATGCAAAGTATAGACAATGATGAGAAAACCCATAAAGATTAAGCTTTAGAATAGACTGATAGTATTTTGAAAGTATTTTTTCCATAATTTGTGCACAGCGGGGGAGGGGGGGGAGGTATATATTATTTTGATTTTCTGAATAATTCTATGAAAACCACACCAAAAATCCATCCATTCTAAATATTTTAAATCTCAACTTACGATCACAATTGAGTCCAAAATTTATGTTGCTAAGTGAGAAATTTGTTCAAGTGAGTTTGCCGCATTTTTACAACTTTTCTTGCCCCGTTGGTTATGTGAATTGTGCAGTTGTTAAATTAGTAACACGGTTGTTAAGTGAATCTGGTTTCTCCATTGACTTTGCTTGTCAGAAGGTCACTAAAGGGGATCACGTGGCTCCAGGACACTGCAGCCGTCATAAACACGAGTCAGTTTCAAGCACCCAAATGTAAATCAGGTGACCATGGGCATGCTGAAATGGTCATAAGTGTGAAAAATGGTCATAAGTCAATTTTTCAGTGCCCTTGTAACTTTGAACAGTAACTAAGGAAACTGTTGTAAATCTAGGATGACCTGTATTTTCCAAATTTGTTAAATATTTTAGATATGTAGTTCATAGATCTTTTTGAAAATCAAGTCCAAGATTATGATTTTACCTACTTTTTCCTAATGGAATATTTGCATTAAAAATTACTCATGGTGAGAAGCATGGATGTAGCAAATCTCATCTTAAAGTTCATTCATGGCTTCATATCCCAACTCAAACACAGGAGTCCTATATACTGCATATAGATTAAGAAAGTAAATGTAGCTCTTGGTTCTCTAAAAATAAATACAGCCAAGCCGTATAGTATACCCCTTGTTGCAGCTAAATTAAACTTGGCTTGCTTTATTCAAGGTTAAGGGCAGCAAGTATTTTTCAAAACTAGTCCTGTAAATTGTGCATGTAATTCTTGCATTTGCTCATCTATAATGATTAACTGAGCTAATCATTTACATGATGAAATTGGAAAATTGGATACCTGTGACTTTTCCTTCTGGCAACCTCACTGGACACGCTGAGTACAAGAGATGGGTTGTTCAACCTTCCAACCACTAGGAGAAAAAGACTCCAGGTAGAGGCTGAAAACAGACATGCCGGTATGAGGAACCACCTCTCTGTTCTCAGTCCAAACCAATATCCCTATTTTCTTTTTCCAGACTTGCGAGGTTGGGTGATAGAGGTTTTGATCAGGGCTGCCCTGAATTTATACATTGTGTAGATGTTTAGAAGAATAAATGTTCCATGTCAGTTGGATCATTCCCCTATGGAGGTAAGCTAAGTCACGCATTGTCTTTACAATGCTGTCTTTAATGGCACCTCCTATTTGAACAGCTGTCCAGATTAAACTTTGAAAAGGAAGAACTGAGCAGGGGCCGAAGTTATTCATCAACTGCTGAAAGAACAGGCACACAAAAAGGAACCTCAGCCCAATCTCCCTCACTCTGATAACACATATTTTATTCAAACTAAACAGAATCTTTCTAAATTTGCATCTTTGCACATGAATGGTTTTGGGTTTTTTTTTTGCACATCCATCTCTCTTTTGTATTTCTATTAATGATGTGTCCCTTTTTCATACAATGATACAACATCACCAGAGTCCTATCTAATCAGTGAAACATTGCCATAGCAATGTTTTTAACCAGACATTTTTACCAAAATGAGCAGGCTCATGAGCTAGATCTATTGCTGAGCATGCCCCTTTAAGCTCTGTGTTCCATAATGGTACCCACAAGTATTCCCCTTGGTCTCTGCTTGTTTTATGTTCCACCTGATTATCTATTGTAAAGAGAAAATAAAATAAAAGGAATGTATTGCATGGATCATCGTGTAACTGGGTTGTTGTAATATGTTTTGTGTGGGATAATCTATGGAAATGACTCCAAAACTACAACGGGACCAGAATGTAGTACCTAGACTGTTGAAAAATAACAATCATTTTGAAATTAATGCATTTTTAACAATAAGGTTCTGGGTCCATTTCAAAGAGATTATCACCCACAGAGCCCTATATAGCATTGCACTTCTAGATATCAGATACGTAGATGCCTGTGAAGACTTACTAAGGTCCTTTCCTTCCACAAGGCGCGAACCAGATGGTAGATCCTTTCTGTAATAGTCCTTAAGATGCATCACCTTTTCCTTGGCATTCTGCAAAGCAGTTCAAACTTTATTCCATCAAACTTTGATTCTAATTAATTGTGGGTGGACATTTGAAAAGGGGGGGGTACTTAATTTAATTATATTGTTTGTATATCATGTTTTGTCATAGATCATCCAGAATCTTTAGATTGGAGTGGATTACAAAAGAGTCAAATTGACAGATTAATACACCCAAAAAGCATTTCCAGAAAATTTAACCTGGAAATAAGGAGAAACTTTCTGACAGTGAGAACAATCAATCAATGGAACAGCTTGCCCTCAGACGTTATGGGAGCTTCATCACTTGAGACTTTCAAGAAGAGATTGGACTGCCATTTGTCAGAAATTGTGGAAGATCTCCTGCTTGGGCAGGGGGTTGGACTAGATGACCTACAAGGTCCCTTCCAACTCTGATTATCTGTTATAAAATAAAGATTACAGATGGTTACAGCTCAGTGCTTTGTTTGGAAGTATTTATTTATAAAATTTATTGGCTGCCCATCTTACCACAAGATAAACAAGTATGTTCACCTGCCCAGAAAAATGACACAGGTAAGCTGGATAGGTACACATTACTTCCACTTAAGGCATCCTGCAGATTTAGAGAAAATAAGAACCTCACTTGTTTACCTATGATAACTGGATGTTGTGATTTGTTATGTCCCTCAAAGTAAACATTGTCTGTTTGGTGTTTTCTCAAAATTCTAAATGAGCTTATTTAGAAAAGATTGGGGAACGGGATGATTTAAGGACATGTGCAATGAATTATGCTACCAGAGTCTGGGCTCTGTGTCTGGCCTACACCATTACAGATGGCTGAGAACTATATTTTCTTCCTATGGAGATTCTCAGTCATCCAGGACATAGTTGTCCCAAAGGTGCTTTGAACCCAACTCAATAAACTCTATTTCCTAGTCATGTCACCAGTTATACACCCTCATTTTCTCAGTAAACTGGGCTATTAAAAATCTAGCAGCTGCATTTAATGTTATTAATTTTGGCTAGTTTTGGTTGGATGGTGAAGATGTGTGTATGTGTGTGTGTGTGTATTTGTAGATTTTCACGGGTACAGGTATGCAGGTCTTGGCATGTTTGGTTCTTTTCCCGTGTAAGATTGAGAGTATCTTGGCGACGTTTCAGTGAGGTCCCACTCGCCATCTTCAGGCTGGTGCTTTCGACTTATGCTTGTGCGAGCAAAGCATGATCAGAGCTGCCATCTCTCTATAAATACTGGTGGGAAGGTTGGCTGTGTTGTCATTTTTTGATTGGTTAATGGAGTTGATGTTTGCAGATTGGCTGGCTTTTTCGTAAGAACATGTGTGGCTGAGGTATTGGCTGTGTGTCAATCAGCCTCCTGTGTTGTAACGACCTGAGTAATGGGCTGTGTGATGACCTTCTGAGTTCTATTGTTGTGACATCCTGGGTCTTGTGCTGTAATCTCCTGGGTCGCTGGCTGTGTTGCAACATCCTGAGGTTTTGTGGTATAACCTCCTGAGTTCTGTGATGTGATATCCTGAGCAGGTGGCTGTGATGTGATGTTCCAGGTTTTGGTTTGGCTCTGAGTTTGAGGCCTGGATATGTGTTCATGGCATGTGTCCGTTTGCTTGGTTTGGGGGTCGGAGTGGGTGGCAGCTGGTGATGCAGCCATGGTCTGGTTTCTGGACGGTAGTTGTCTTTCATCTATGGGATGGCTTTGGGGTTGAGTCTGATAAAGGAGAATGGTGGTGGTGTCATGTGTTGTTTTGGCTCCAGTGTTGGTTTCAGAGACAATTAGTTTTCATAGCCTTTTAACTGTGAATGAACGGAATTCGCAGAGAAGTATTAAAAGGTTTTGCTTTTACCTCTGTTTGGTGTTCGTTTCCTTGGAACAAGGTTTGGGTCAGAACATAACTTCAATGATTCGCCTAACAACCATGGCAAAAAAAAAAAGTAAAATAGGACATGACTCACTTAACAACAATTTTGTGCTTGATTGTGGTTGTAAGCTAATGACTACCTGTAATGTTATCTGTGGATTTGACTCAGATCCCGTTTATAGTGGAAGATCAGCAATGATGCTTGTAAGGGGAACTTAACAGCTTTCCTGTGGGTGATGCTTACTATCTGTTTACTATTTTTCTAGCAATTTCCCCTCGACCGATTTACAGTAGATGTTTCTGTGAGAGAAAGTGGGTAAGGGAGAAGCAAGTTTCTAGCACAGGTTCCCTGCACCCTGCCTCTCAACCAAAAGCATTAAGAGCATACGCCTCTTAATGGGAAAAAAAAAACCCCAAAGCATGCAGAAACTGTCTGAAGTGGAGAAAACCCAACAAAGTGGTGGGGAAAAAGAACATCTCATTAGAAGCTATCCAGTTCTACATCACAAACACCTGGAACCAGCAAAAAACAAAGACAGTATACCAACAAGATTGAGTGGGAAAAAATAAATAAAAGTGAATAATAGCTGAGGGTCAGATTCACAAGAGGCCAGAATATAAGATGATGTAGCAACCCACAAACCACACAAAAATCTCTAAAAGGTCCTTCAAATTCTAAGTAAAGTATCTACATCTACAGTAGATCTACTCTGGCAATAAAAAAAGTATTTTTGTTGATAGGAAGTGCTTAGCCAGCATAAGTTCTTTAAATAGCTACTGTGGTTATTATCTATTCTAATTGTAAGTAAATAAAATGCCTACAAGTTGCTGTACTAAATTCTACCCCATTCAGAAGCTATTTTGTCCTTGAAAAATGATGATATTCTCAGCCACCAGTCTAAAACTTGCCATTTGATTTCATACTGGGTTTTTTTTCTTGCTCTTCCATGTGAAGGAAGGGAAAAAGCTCTCATACAACAAGGACTATATATTGCCAAAAGGCAAATGAAAGTCCTTGCATATGTGAAGAGGGGATTCCTAACACACAAATAGGCAAGGCCATATACAATTTACAGGAAAACATCACCAATAGCTAAATGAATAGGATGTATTTCTTTTCACTTTAGAGATCTTAAAGGAAAATTCACAGGTTAAAACCATTTTTTCCTTCACCTTAAAGCATCTTTGATATACAAGGTAAACATTTTTATGGCATGAACTCTTGATGGAGAATCAGAGTTGTGAGTTTCAGACTGAATCAATGTTCTTACTGAACAATGTTCACATCAATTAGAGACATAATGGCCATTCTTATCTCTATGAGATTGAGCGCTGAATTAGTGTTCTCTTTCTATAGTTCATTTCGTTTCAGTCTGCTCTTAACTTTTTTTCTACCTAGATGGTTGTAGGATCAACATCAGCAGCTTTCTGAAAACACGTATATATTGCTTCCATGCACCTACATTATAATCTTCTCCAAAAATCTTCATCTGTTGCCTCCCAGACATTACATTCTGCAATGTTAAACTCTTTCATTTTTCCTAATAGAAATATGTCAAGAGGAGCATGCACAAAATCCAACATACTAAATTAAAAAATGAAGGATACAAGTATGGAAGACAAAACACAGTTTGCAGGCAAAGGAATACTATAAAAAAATATCCAAGGAATATAGTGGCATCTGTTTTATCTTTTTAATTGTTTTCCGGACCGTTCATACGGGTTGGGGAGTGGGGATCTGCAAAAGGATTGTAGCCTTTTAAATTATAATACAAATATTTTGTGGTTTCAGAATTTAGAAACATGCTCCTGTCTTTGACAGTTTCCATTGATATGGTAAGCAAGTGCTGAATATCTTTTAGTCAGAGCACACAGTATGACATTGACATCTGATGTCCTTGGACAAGGACCAGAATTCTGAGTGCCTGGGAAATAGCAATAGCAATAGGTAGGATTCAGCCAGTTCGCACCACTTCAGGAGAACAGTTGTTAACTTTCTGAGCAGTTTGGTGAACTGGTTGTTGGAAGAAATCATTAAGGCAGAGAACCAGTTGTTAAATTATTTGAATCCCACCACTGCACTTACACTTTATACCGCTTCTTAGTGCTTTACTAAGCAGTTTACAGAATCAGCATATTTCCTCCAATAGTCTGGGTCCTCATTTTATCATCCTCAGAAGAATGGGAGGCTGCATCAGTCTTGAGCTGGTGAAAATCGAACTGCTGAACTACTGCCAGAGTAGCCTGCAGTACTGCATTCTAATCACTGTGCCACCAAGGCTCTTGTTGAATGAATAGTCAAGGCCCAATGTGGGATTTTTTTCCTGCTTCCTGTCCACCCTTCTTTGGCAGTACCAGTTGTCCTCCAAGGGTTACGAAGAACATAGCAGTAACATGGCAACATCCAAGTCAGTGCAACAAAATGCGTGGCACATTCCAACAGGGCTTGCCAATGAAATACTCTACAGCAATTATGGTAAACTTTGCAGAGACTTAATGCATGTATGTTCTTTTACCTTAAAAAAACACAATGTCACAAAATCACAGTACTGAAGATCCAAACAAAATCCAAAATTTACATTTGGCACTATAATCTGCAAGAATACCAGCAACAGCTGTATAAAACAACTCAGCTGGCTACCAAGTTATTTCTTGATCAGTCAGCTCAAGCAAAACTTTTCAAACCACCTTCAACTGTTTTTTTTTTTTAACATGCAAGCCACTTTTGTTGGATTTTCACTTATGTTTAATTCCTTAACAGAAAGAAAATGACCCCTTGTTCCTAAATCTGAAGAATTAATTTAAAGTATAACTGGAAGAAAAAGTGACCTGTTTGGATATTCCTTGATGATCTGATAAATGCTAATCTTAATTGTTTCATTCTCAAATCGACTGTAACTTCGATCCTTGTAAATCCGAAATTCTGCTGCTGTCACTGCTTCTCCGCGAGGGATCTGAGTCAAATCAAATCGGAATTCTTTGTAGTGACGTCGTTGGTGAGAAAAATCCTTGTCTCTTTCCACTATGAAAATAAAATGAAACGAAAAGGTTAAAAATCCATGTTAATGCAGCACTCCTTACAGGTTTTAATTTAAGCTATAGGAGACATTTAAGAATCCAAAAGTCACAAGGTCAAAGGGGCTAGAGCCTGCAACAACTTGGAAAGGAAATCATTCAGCAGAAAGAACAAAAAATAGACTATATATTTAAAAGTAATAAAGTTGTGGGCAAAAGAAAATCTCCACATGTTAGAAAAGAATTATGAAATTGGGTTCGCTCATCTTTCTATATGAACAAGAATTACTAGCAGATGATCTTGGCATGGATGTTTGGACAGCATTTGAGGAAACGAAGCTGGCCAGGCCTTGGCTGAAGTCGTAATATATTACATGGATGCTTGTTCCATTCTCATGCGGTGGTATTTGTATTCCCAGCTATATTTGCTCTGCAAATGAAACCATATTGAAAACCTTGTTTGCATAGCTACTTCTATCTACAGCAGGATGCTCATTAGACGAAAATATTAGTCACAAACTCTCTGAATTGTTTTGAAGAAGTCATTCTTGCTGCATCTGTTGTTCATCATAATGGCAGGACTGATGACTCATTTACAGGAGGAGTGGTTAACCTGAGGTGCCTAAGCCATCTGGGGCCTCTAAGCCTCTTTTCTGCAGCTCCCAGTACTGACCACTGACCACAATGGCTGGAAATTAGAAGCTTGGTTTCAGATCATTGTGAGGTGCAAACTACATAAAAATGGTCATTTACACCCCCCAAAAGGCTTAATTTAGTTTTAAAATAAAAATAAAAACCCATTCTAACCAATCTGTTCTGAATCCTGGCTCTATCTTTTCTCTCACCAAGAATTAAATCCTTGTTGCTAACACCCTGGGTATTAATGGATCTGGGATTGTGAATGCAACGCCTAATTAATCCATACACATAACACTTCACAAATGTCACTGCTTCCTATTAAGAGAAAGATACAAGGTCTTAGTGTGGCTTACTTAAATCTGTACATCCCCTGCAGAAGCAAGAAAGTAAACCAATCACTTCTAGGTGGTGGAGGTTACTGTAAACTGACAGAGAACAAAGCACACATGTTTACAGATTCAAACCAATGAAATGATGGTGTATTTTCACTAAATACTTGGGTTATCTGACAAGCAGAGGTCAGAGGTTCCAAGAGTTTTGTCTTGAAATTACTAAGTGCTCTTCAGCTGGCTGATAATTGAAAGCAGAGGCTAGAAATATCAAAGAAAGTAGGTGATAGATAAGTCACAGATAAATGGGCTCTAGTTCTTATGTCTTCAAAAAGCAGAGGCTCCAGGAATTCCCTGTTGTGTTACTGGGAACAGACCAAGGCATCAGTCATGGTACCTATTCCTATCTATATCTTCTATCATTATCCAAGCCCAGCTCTTCCCTGATCTCTTGGTTCTTCAGGCATCCTCCAAGGACGCAGAAGAAAACCTGAACTTTCATAGGGGATTAGAAATAGGAACTCATCAGAATGAAAAAGGTATATGTCTATTTCATTTAGTATGGATAGTTCAAAAAAATATGAGCTCTGAGTATTATCCGTAACACTATAGTTTGAATCCCAATCTAGAACAGAAATTATTTTCTTATTAATCCTCTGATCCTGAATGCCACAATCTCCTTCATACTGACTGCAGCTAACTTGCAATGTAAATCAGTCTCAGCACATAGAAATCTATTTCCTAACTTTCCCCAAGAGCCACTTTTTACTTATGTTAATTAGAATTATACTGAATTAACAGGATTAGGAGAAGTAATAAAAACCTGTCTCCATATACCTGCTTTGAATCCAACAATCTCTGAAGGGAACATAGACGAGGAAGCTGTGCTTAAATTGTAATTTTAGGATATGGAGTTTGTTGTTTAATTACATTTTTATGTTCCAAGTAAACACCTTGAATTATTTAGAAAAAAAATAAAAGTGGGATAAAAATACCTAAAAATAAGTGCATGATCCATTAAAAGTAATGCCAAAAGGTTTTTAAAGAGATTGGGAATTTTGTTTAGTACAATATAAACCAAGAGTCTCTACCCCCAAATAGCCATGAACGCTGATATCAAAGTTTGCAGTGAGAAAACAGAATAACCCAGCATGCCTTCAAATATAGATAAAGGTAAAGGTTCCCCTCGCACATATGCGCTAGTCATTTCTGGCTCTAGGGGGTGGTGCTCATCTCCGTTAAAAGCCGAAGAGCCAGCACTGTCCAAAGACGTCTCCGTGGTCATGTGGCCAGCATGACTAAATGTCGAAGGGGCATGGAATGCTGTTACCTTCCCACCAAAGTGGTCCCTATTTTTCTATTTGGATTTTTACATGCTTTCAAATTGCTAGGTTGGCAGAAGCTGGGACAAGTAACGGGAGCTCACTCTGTTACGTGGTGCTAGGGATTTGAACTGCTGAACTGCCGACCTTTCTGATCGACAAGCTTAGCATCTTAACCACTGAGCCACCACATCCCTCAAATATAAATTTATTTTGAAAACAATCACAGGCAACACTCCATTCCCAACCTCAAACTGGCCCCATATCTCCAGAGAGCTCCACTCATCGACTGTATTTGATGCTGATAACAATACTACACACTTGCTCTATCTGTTGGCTGAGAGATCTCAGCCACTCTAGCCTCATCCATTGAGGCAGCCTCCTTTCTTCCATTCACTAAAGCAGGCAGACCACAGCAGTGGTTCCAGTCACAATGCCTCCCTGATGCACAGTCATCCTCTGTCCTATTTTGCTTTAGTTCCAAAACATACCTTTCTCCTAGTCTAATGGAGGACCTAAAGTGTCCACCTGAGATTGGCAAGCTATCCTCTCACCCCATCGGCTATAATTCCTCTGTAAGAAGGCATGTGAAGGTTGCACATGCCTTCAGCACTCTGACCTGCATCACTGCAGGTGTTTGGACTATGACTATGAGATTGCGGGTTTAAGGCCTCAGATGTAAATTCTTTAAAACTCTTGAGGTCAGTTTGACATAGCTTTATTGTTTGGTAGAGTTGCAACTATCTAAGTCCACATATGGATCAACCGGACAAGGTTGTAGTCCTCTATACTCTTGTAGCATGCCAGCAAGTGATTCTTTACTCCACACATTCCTAAATGCTGGAAAAAAATTATGTCCTGGGAGGGCAGTTGAACATTGACCAAAAACTTTTATTAGTTGAACAGACAAGTGCCAGAACAGACAGGGCAAGATCATAATTACATCAGTGGAGGAATTGAAGCAGAATTTTGGACCTAGTCTGTCTTCTTCTCTTGCTCCTTTGGTGTTTTAATACTACCTGCAGCTGGACACAACCATTTCAGTGTGTTTACTCACAAAATATCACCAGGAAATTACACTGCTCATGCCTGGCCGCATGCCACAGTTGTGCAATATTGGGAGACTCTAGTGGCTACGGCGATGGAAAAATAAGAAACAGAGTAAATGAAAATGCTTCCTATGTCTCCATCCCTAATTAAGCTTTTGCTTGGAACACTCTTCAAAATAAACATACTTTATGTAGAACTCGGCTGAATCCTTATTTTAAAATGATTATTAGTCGGTTGCTAAAATGAAACTAAGATGGCCTATTAGTAAAATCAACCACCATAAGCTGTTTTACACTAAGAGGTTTAAAACCTTCCATAATATTTTTAAATGGATATTAAAAGTTTTAGTTGTTTGCTTTCCAAGATTATTACTGCTGAAAAGTAAATGTATTTTGTTACATGCATGCCTTTGAGAAATTAGGCTACTAAAGCATTTACATTTTTTTTCATCTTAGTCAGAATTTATACTTCTCTGAAGAGCTTAAGTTCCTACTGTTTTAAAATATCCCAAAACAGGTTAGTAAATAGCTATTAAGCAAAATGACCCTTTGACCTCTCAGTTCATGAAGCTTATATTGTATGCTTGTTCAGCTACTTAAAACCCAATCAACTGTGAGTATGTCCTTCGCTTCCTCTCTCAAATAATCTGACAGAGATTTATCTACAGCCTGAGCATCACAAAGTCTTTTTTTTACAAACTATCTTATTCTTAGCATTTTCTGATAATAGCTTGTGCTGCTGTTGCCTTTATTTTAATTTTCTGTTATATAGCCTTTTATTTACTAATTAAATTTATATGCCACCCATCTTACTATCAAGCAATTCTGGGTAGATTGCTATCTTTCTTTATTCATTTAAAAACAAAAGCTTAAAGATGCTAACCCTTAACAAAAAAAACATTAGGGGAAAAATTCACAGGCCACCATAATCAAACAAGAGGCTCTCCTGATCATTCTTTCATGAAAATGTGTTATGTGTGTGTATAAAATAAGAAAACCATTTCACCCCACGAAGTAATTCTGACAACCATATTTGTAAGCATGTACTATTCATTTTATTTATAATCCTTTATATTTTCCAAATCCTACTAGTGTTGTGGCTGTCAAAACAAGCATTTCTTTGTAGCAACCCATTCAGCAGGTTCTGACCAGTTCTGGAGAACCGGTACAGAAATTTTGAATAGTTTGAATAACTAGCAAATACCACCTCTGACTGCCCCCCCCCCCATCTATTCTCTGCCTCCCGAGTCCCAGCTGATTGGCTGGGTCTTCTTTTGTTGCCCTACACAGGAGAATGGAGCTGGAAAGCAGGTTAGTGGGGTGGGGAGGACTGGGAGTTCTAGCCTCACCTTAGGTATGAAAGCCAGCTGGGTAACCTTTGGCTAGTCCCTCTTAGTCAGCCCAACCCACCTCACAGGATTGTTGTAATGAGGAAAATAAGAAGAGGAAGGAGTATTAGGTATGTTCACTGACTTGAATTACTTATGAAATAATAAAGGTAGGATAAAAATCCAAATAAACTCCTCCAATTCCTGGTTTGTCTCCCTAGTGTCACTGTAGTTCTGTGTTCACAAAGCAAGTGTCAGCAACTTTTTCCAGAGGCCATTCCATCACTGCCACTATTTTATCTACCTTCTCCATCTCATAGCTTGTTTTTTTGCCTCCTGT